GAAGACCTGGGTTCAATCCCTGGGTCAGGACAGTCCTCTGGAGAAGGGAATGGCAATCCACTCCAGTATTCTTGCCTGGAGAATCCCATGAACAGAGAAGTCTCAGAAAACCAGTTTGCCTTCTTGCTTTCCTTCTTCTTTGGATGGCTTTGTTTGCTGCCTCCTGGACGTTACAGACCTCCATCCATGGTCCCTCAGGCACTCTCTCTACCAGACCTGATCCCGTGCATCTATCCATTACCTCTGCTGCGTATTCATAGGGGATCTGACTCAAGTCACACCTGGCTGGCCTACGGGTTTTCCCCACTTTCTTTAAGTCTGAGTTTTGCTATGAGAAGCTGATGATCGGAGCCACAGTCAGCTCCAGGTCTTGTTTTTGCTGACTGTATACAGCCTTTTCATCTTCAGCTACAAAGAATGTAGTCAATTTGATTTCAGTGTTGGCCATTTGGTGATGTCCATGTGTAAAGTCATCTCTTGTGTTGTTGAAAAAGGGTATTTTCTCTGACAATGCATTCTCTTGGCAGAATTCAGTTAGCCTTTGTTCTGCTTCATTTTGTTCTCCAAGGCCAAACTTGCTGTTACTCCTGGCATCTCTTGATTTCCTACTTTTGCATACCAATCCCCAGTGATGAATAAAATATCTTTTTTCTGGTATTAGTTCTGGGAGTTCAGGTCTTCATAGAATGGATCAACTTCAGCTTCTTCGGCATTGCTAGTAGGGGCATAGATTTGGATTACTGTGGTGTTGAATGGCTTGCCTTGAAAACGAACCAAGATTATTCTGTCATTTTTGAAGTTGCACCCAAGTACTGCCTTTTGGACTCTTTTTTGGATTATAAGGGCTACTCCATTTCTTCTACGGGACTCTTGCCCACAGTATTATATATAATGGTCATCTGAATTAAGTTCATCCATTCCCGTCCATTTTAGTTCACTGACTCCTAGGATGACAATGTTTATTCTTACCATCTCCTGCTTGACCACGTCCAATTTACCTTGATTCATGGACCTAACATTCCAGGTTCCTATGAGATACTGTTCTTTGCAGCCTCGGGTTTTACTTTCATCACCAGCCTCATCCACAACTGAGCATCGTTTCTGTTTTGGCCCGGCCGCTGCATTCTTTCTGGGGCCATTAGTAGTTGTCCTCCACTCTTCCCCAGCAGCATATTGGACACCTTCCAACCTGGGGAACTCACCTTTCGGTGTCAAATCTTTCTGTCAGTTCACGAGGCTCTCACAGCAAGTATACTGGGGCGGTTTGCCGTTCCCTCCTCCAGGGGATGACGTTTGGTCAGAACTCCCCCTGTGACCCGTCCACCTTGGAAGACCCTGCATGACATGGCTTGTAGCTTCACTGAATTACATGAGCCTCTCTGCCACAGCAAGGCAGTGACCCGGGAAGGGCATGCCACATTAGGCACCCCATAAGACCTTGTCCTTTTCTCCTTTGCCTTTCACTTCTCTTCTTTTCTTAATTAATTAATTTATTTTAATTGGAGGCTAATTACTTTACAATATTGTGGTGGTTTGGCATGAGTCTGCCATGGGTGTACATGTGTCCCCATCCTGAACCCCGCTCCCGCCTCCCTCCCCATCCCGTCCCTCAGGGTCGTCCCAGCGCACCAGCCCTGAGCGCCCTGCCGCATGCATCGAACTTGGACTGGTGATCTATTCACATATGATAATATACATGTTTCAATGCTATTCTCTCAAACCATCCCACCCTCGCCTTCTCCCACAGAGTCCAGCAGTCTGTTCTTTACATCTGTGTCTGTTTTGCTGTCTTGCATATAGGGTCATCATTACCATCTTTCTAAATTCCATATATATGCGTTAATATACTGTACTGGTGTTTTTCTTTCTGACTTACTTCACTCTGTATAATAGGCTCCAGTTTCATCCACCTCATTAAAACTGATTCAAATGCATTCTTTTTAATAGCTGAGTAGTATCCTGTTGTGTATATGTACCACAACTTTCTTATCCATCCATCTGCTGATGGACATCTAGGTTGCTTCCACGTCCTGGCCATTGCAAAGCTTCTCTTCTTTTCTCAGCTGTATGTAAGACCGCCTCAGACCACCATTTAGCCTTTTGCATTTCTTTTTCCTAGGGATGGTTTTGACCACCGCCCAGATGATTTTGACTGTGTGGATTACAACAAACTGTGGAAAATTCTTAAAGAAATGGGAATACCAGACCCCCTGACCTGCCTCCTGAGAAACCTGTATGCAGGTCAAGAAGCAACAGTTAGAATCAGACATGGACCAACGGACTGGTTCCAAATTGAGAAAGGAGTCCATCAAGGCTGTATATTGTCACCCTGCTTATTTAACTCATATGCAGAGTACATCATGCGAATTGCCGGGCTGGATGAAGCACAAGCTGGAATCAATATTGCCAGGAGGAATATCAATAGCCTCAGATACACAGATGACACCACCCTTATGGCAGAAAGTGAAGAGGAACTAAAGAGCCTCTTGATGAGAGTGAAAGAGGAGAGTGAGCCCAGGAAACAAATCCCTTCAGCACAGGAAGGTGGCGAGGACACAAGTCGATGCTCGCACAGGCCGAGCTCTTCAGGGAAACTGCGTCTTCAAGGTGAACCCTGCCTGAGGCGGTGTGAGTCCGTCAGACGGTGTGTGGAGCCCAAACAGGACCCTGTGCTCCTCGCCCCCTCTGTGTCCTCCCCCTGCCTTTTGTCTGTGGAGACACCTCAGCCAGAGAGTAAGTTTGATCAGAGAAGTGAGAACGTGCAGGAGCGAAGGGAAGCAGTCAGAGGAGCCCAAGTAATAACAATGTAATCAGTAAGCAAGTCAAGGATCTTTAGTTCCTCCTCACGGGCTGGGGTAAACATTTCCACTCGTCTCCTGAGAGCGCTCATAGATACTCAGACTCCCACCAGGTGGAAGAAGTTAACTACACAATGACCAGACTGTACCTATCACACAAGCTTCCACAATTCCGAGATTTGGCTTCACAGAAAGGGAAACAAACCACCATGGAACGGAAGATGAACGCCTTGCTGTTGTTCAGTCACTAAGTCATGTCCGGCTCTGTGATGCTGTGGACTGCAGCACGCCAGAATTCCCTGTCGTTCGCTGTCTCTGGAGTTTGCTCAAATTCATGTCCACTGAATCAGGGATGCTATCTAACCATCTCATCCTCTGTCGTCCCCTTCTCCTCCTGCCTTCAGTCTTTCCCAGCATAGAGTCTTTTCCAATGAGACAGCTCTTCACACCAGTTGGCCAAAGTATTGGAGCTTCAGCTTCAGCATCAGTGTGTTCAGTAAATATTCAGGGTTGATTTCCTTTAGAATTGACTGATTTGATCTCCTTGCAGTCCAAGGGACTCAGTTCAGTTCAGTTCAGTTCAGTCACTCAGTCATGTCTGACTCTTTGCGACCCCATGAGCGGCAGCGTGCCAGGCCTCCCTGTCCATCACCAACTCCCAGAGTCCACCCAAACTCATGTCCATTGAGTCAGTGATGCCATCCAACCATCTCATCCTCCGTCATCCCCTTCTCCTCCTGCCCTCAATCTTAATGGGACTGGATGCCATGATCTTAGTTTTCTGAATGTTGAGCTTTAAGCCAACCTTTTCACTCTCCTCTTTCACTTTCATCAAGAGGCTCTTTAGGCCCTCTTCACTTTCTTCCATAAGGGTGGTGTCATCTGCATGTCTGAGGTTATTGACATTTCTCCTAGCAATCTTGATTCCGCCTTGTGCTTCCTCCAGTCCAGCGTTTCTCATGATGTACTCAGCATATAAGTTAAATAAGCAGGGTGACCTCAGCACCACAGTTTGAAAGTATCAATTCTTCAGCTCTCAGCCCTCTTTATGATCCAGCTCTCACCTCTGTATATGACTACTGGAAAACCATAGCTTTGACTATAGAAAATAAAGAAGAAAGCCACTCAGTCATGTCCAACTTTTTGCAACCCCATGGACTACACAGTCCATGGAATTCTCTAGGCCAGAATACTGGAGTGGGTAGCCTTTTCCTTCTCCAGGGGATCTTCCCAAACCAGGGATCAAACCCAGGTCTCCCACATTGCAGGCAGATTCTTTACCAGCTGAGCCACAAAGGAAGCCCAAAGTTAAAGTTACCCAGTCGTATCTGATTCTGCAACCCCATGGACTATAAAGTCCATAGAATTCTCCAGGCCAGAAAACTGGAGGGTAGCCTTTCCCTTCTCCAGGGCATCTTCCCAACCCAGGGATCAAGCCCAGGTCTCCCATATTGCAGGCAGATTCTTTACCAGCTGAGCCACAATGGAAGCCCTTGTGGGCTCCTAAAACCGTAAAGATAAAATGTTCCTAAAACAATCAAGATGATGCTGATTAAACCACTGATGACCAATTTCAAGATGATTCTGAGAGTTGACATATATATTTATGCATGTAACACTTTTCCCCTCTATAAAAGCCTATATCTGATTGTTCTCAGGAGTCTGGCTTTGGACAGGCAGCTGTCCTCCGCAACTCTGTCCCACCCATTTGCCGGCATCCAACATAAAACAAACTTTCCTTTCCACCAACCTGTCCTTTTTATCGCCTTTCAAGTGCCGAGCAGCCGGACCTCGGTCCCATAACATCCTGATGGTTGTTTGGGGGTTTGTTTAGTTTTTGGTAAAGTAAATTCCTGATGACCTTAGATTAGAGATTGACACCCTCTGATTGCCAGCCACCCACTTCAAAGACCACTATCTAGAATAAACACCTTGCCAGCCACATGACTACACAAAGGGCCATATGCCTCCCCTGACTCAGGCACCTTTGTATTGGAGATTTCGGTTAGTCTGACTATTTGGGGCCACCTGTTGTTCCTCTTCGCATGCTTTACACGGACTCACATGGTTGAGATTCACCAATAAAGGGTGAGCACACGAAGCTGTAAGCTCCCCCCTCGACCCCGGTAAAAGCAGAACCACAGACCAGAGATCTCCAGCTCTCCCTCTCCCTCTGAACTCCTGGGGGTCCCAGGTGCGCTGTGTCACTTCCAGGTCCTGTAAGTAACAGACCTTTCTTCTTTCGGAGTTTTCTGATGATTATGGCTGAAGGGCATCTTGCGGTAGTAACAACCACACGGTCTTGTCCGGCCACAACCCTGGCTATTGAGGGGTTGAGATGACCAGGCGACAGTTTTCCTAGTCACTGATCACAATGACCAGTGGTTTAACACAAGAAACTTGTACTTCTCACCCAGACAAAGACCACTGAGGGTGCGGGATGCTCTCCAAGGGGTGTCCTCCATGCTGTGACTCAGGGATCCAAGCTGCTCCAGCTTCCGGCCCCGTCCCGTGGGGCACAGAAGACTGGGGCATGGCACACATATTTACCTCATTGTGGCCTGGCCGTGGTCCTCAGCACAGATGCCCATATGTTCTTAGCCAGATTCAGTCTCCTGGGCTTAACCTGGAAGGGGGCCTGGGGATTGTGGAGGGGAGCAGGCAGAATGGTGATGGGCAACATAGCCGCTGCCACATTGGCTTTTGGGGGGATGTGTGTTGGAAAGTGTTAACTGAAGGTCTTGGGAACTGAATTCAAGCACTATTAAAGGGCTGGAAAAGAGTTTTAGAAATGAAAACTAGGGTCACTGTCTCCCTGAGACTGAAAAAGGAAAAGCAATAGATCCCAGGAGATTCAATTAGCTCCATCTCCAAACAGGTAAGGACAGGAGACAAGCTGGCAGCTGTACGTGGAGGGGAAATTCCAGGACAGTCTCTGGCATTTTCCAGATGCGGGGGGTGGGGGGGGGTGCGGAGGAGAGGAGACTATGGAGGAGCAAGAAGAAAGGGTGGAGGCACTGGTCCCGGTCAGAGGAAGGGACCACCTGCTCCTTGCAGTCCTTTCCTGCCGGGTCCCCAGGGCCCCAGGTCACAGGACAAGTTCTCATCACCTCCTGAGAGGCTTACATGATTCCTGCCACTTTGAAGAGCCCTCGTACATACTTCCTGTGAATGATTGGTTTATGGAATGAATGAATACCAGTACATACCTTGTTTCTTATCCCTAAGTGGCATACTTAGCAGCAGAAAGGAAAAATCCCTGGTCAGCAGCAGATAACCCTTGCCCTCTCCTGGAAGTGGGTTCAGGAGGGTCACACCCAGACCCAGTATGGGAATTTATTCACTCAGGACAGAGACCCACAGGAAAGATGACAAAGTAATCTATAATTTTGGCATCAGCTAATGGCACATAAGGGTGGAAAAACCTCAGCTCTATAAGGCCAGCTGAGAGGAAAAAGAGAGGGTCGCCTAGGGGGAGGGACATGCCAAACTCTGAGACCAATAACGGGCCATACACCCATCCTATTTCCCACCCCACCAACCCCCAAGCTTCCAGAGGGATCAGCTATTTAACTGGAGTTCAGAATAAACAAAGTGGTCACTTGGAGATTTTAACTTGGGATCCTCTGAGTAGTAAATAGCCAGAAATGAATACCCAGTCCCTGATCACTGGCTGACTTCAAGATTGGCTATAGTGTGTGTGTGTGTGTGTGTGTGTGTGTGTGTGTACATGCAGGCACCCATGAGCACAAGCCTGTACATGCCTGATTTGGTATGACAAGAGGATATATGTGCACAGGTGTGTTGTGTGGGAACGTGAATATATTGTGTAAAATGATGTCTGCACTAGTAGATGAGCACAGAGAGTGTGTGTGTGTGTGTGTGTGTATGAAGTGTGTGTGAAGTTGTGTTTGTGCATATGCAACTGTAAGTGTGAACAAGATGGTGCTGCTTTAGTTCTGGAGAAAAACACTGTGGATCCAACCCCATGAGCAGAATTCCCAAGCCTTGACTCCAGTGTGGGGGTGAGTAAGCTGCATCTACTGGGGGACACACAGCCTACGACCTGTGGGGTCTCCCAGTTTGGTGGGATGATCTGATCACAGCCTCCCAGGAACTCTCAGGAGGGTGAGGAGCATGGAGGTCTCAGCAGTGTATCGTGGGGGGAAGAGGTGGTTTCGACCAGGGAATCGTGTAACAAAGCTGGGACACGCTCCCTCTACATATCCTGTGTGCCCGATGAAGGCAGCCACGCTGGATCCCCCCTGGGATGGAAGAGCATGTCTGTGATCTCCTTTAAAGACTCTCTTCATCAAGATCGTAGAATGTGAACAGGACAGCAGGGGCCGGGGCAGAAGCTGGACCACCTGTCAGAGGATCTAGGCTGGTCTGTCTGTATTTCTCCCCCACAGAACCCTCAGCATGAAGACCCTCCTGCTGCTGGCAGTGACCATGGCCATCGGTAAGAGCTGAACCTGACCTCTGGCCACGAGGGGGACAGCCCAGGGAGGGAGGCAGCCGCATCCCCCAGCTTCCCTTCCCACCGCATCTGGCCCCCTCTCAGAAGTGGGGGCAGGGGGGTGGCAGGGAGAGGCAGAGGGAGGTGGTAGGGTCCCAGGCCCCATCACCAGCTGCTGTCCTTCCAGGCCTGCTGCAGGTCCATGGAACTATGGCAGATTTCCAGAAAATGATCAAGTTCACGACAGGAAAGGAACCTCTGACTTCTTACGGCTTCTATGGCTGCCACTGTGGTGCGGGTAGCAGAGGAACCCCCAAGGATGCAACAGATTGGTGAGGCCAGCCCCAGCCCTCCCTGCCCTCTGCCCACTTGTGGCCCCAAAGCGGGCGGGAGCTGAAGCCTCCTGCTTTAGTCCCATCAGCATGGAACCCAGGAAGTCCCGGCCTAAAAAGCAGCCAGCTTGTTGGAAACTCTGCTGTAAACTATTCCAATGTCCCAGGGCCCAGGGGCTGAGAGCACAGGGCCCTAGGCTCCCAGGAGCCTGGGGAGGCAGCCCCGATAGCTCAGTCTTGTCACAGGTGTTGCAGGGCCCATGACTGTTGCTACGAAAACCTAAAAAAACGCGGATGCCGCACCACCTTCCAGAGCTACAACTTTATTTTCCAACGGGGCCAAATCGTTTGTGGTAAGAAAAGAGACCTACAACACCACCCATCCTCCCCTTTTCATTTTACTGAGTGTCCGCTGGGCCAGGTTCTGCGCAGGGCATCCGAGCTAGAAAAAGGGACCCTGTCCCTACCTCAAGGAGTTCATATTGGACTGAGCAGGAAAGAAAATCAAAATCTAACATGATAGTCTCAGAGGGGAAGTAAGAAAAAGGTCAGGGCTCTGAACACAGCCTGAGGGTCATGGAAGCCTGGAAGCTTCCTGAAAGTGGTGATCTCCAAGCTGAGTCCTCAGGGCTGAGAGGGGTCGGGGGGAAGGAGCATTGGGAGCATCCCCACAAGAAGATACACCAGGGACAACGGTCCAGAGGGAACTGCAACAACTCTGTGCTGCGGAAGGAAAAGGTGAGGATGAGACAGGGTGGTGAGTGATGATGCTGGAGAGACAGGAAGGGGCTAGGTCAAGTCTCCAGGCCATATTGTATTTAGATTATGTCCTAAAGAATTAGGGAGCTTTTAACAAAAGGAGAAGGAAATGGCAACCCACTCCAGTACCCTTGCCTGGAGAATCCCATGGACAGAGGAGCCTGGTAGGCTACAGTCCATGGGGTCGCAAAGAGTCGGACACAACTGAGCGACTTCACTTACTTACCTACGTAACAAAAGGAGTGGTACAATCGTACTTGCATTTCACACTTGCTCTGTCTGAGGGTAGATGCTGACAGACGAAACTGGGGAGCATTGTCATGATGCAGACGAGAGACAGGAAACCCTTGAGCTTTGGCAGTGGTGGGTCAGGATGCAAGGGGTGGAGAGCGCCATCGAGGTGCATTTGAGGTCAGATTGGTAGAGCTTGGTGGTGGACCAAGCTCTTATGGTGCCTGGGAGCTGCTGGGTTGGCTGTACCATTGTGTGGATGGTTCTACTGAGGAGGGCCTGGTAGGAGAGGGCAGGAGGCATTCCATGTGGAGCGTGTTGAGTTTGGAAGCTTCCAGAACACCCAGGGAGATGGGCAGCAGGCAGCTGGATGAAGGAACCAGCAGCTCAAGGGACGGTCTGGACACAGATTCAGGAGGCGGCCGCAGAGAGAGGAGAGTTGGAGGTACCCACCCATTTGGTGTTTAAAGGCCGAGAAAGGAGACAGAGGAGGGACAGTCAGAGAAGGAAGGGAAGAGACAAGAAGGTCGAGAAGTTGGCCAGGAGGAGAGGATTAGCAGCAGCCGGTTCAATAGACGGGTCCTCCAGGATAAGGGCTGACCGGGCTCCTTGGGTTTAGAGGCAGAAAGAGCACTGAGGACCTCAGTGGGAGCTGTTCCCATGGATCTGTGAAGGCAAAGCCAGATTCGAGTGGGTTGGGAGGTGGGGGGAAGTGAAGAGAGATTGCGAGTGTAGACAATGTTCTGGAGCAAGTTTGGCCGTGGAGGGGAGGAGAGGGATGGGTGGTGGCTGGAAGGGACTGCCTAGTGCCCCAGACCTACTGACCCATGAGTGAGATTTTGAGAAACCACGGACTTTTCCTCAACAGCCTGAGGTCTCCAAGATCAGAAAGCATGTCTTCCCATCATGACCTTCCACAAGGCTCTGTGGCTTTAGCAGGCCCTGGGTGACAAGCAGCAAGATGCCCAGCTAACAGAGGCTCAGAGAGGGAGAAGTCTGACTCTCCTGTGAGAGAGTCTGGGAGAGGGCAGTGCCAGGGCGGGGGCAGCTTCTCAGCTGTGTTGCCAGGGATCCAGTCTTTTCCCAACCGTCTGCCCTGCCACATTGGCGATGTGATTCCAAGGCACAGTCTAGGGCTCCAAGAGTTATGGCTTCAGCCTACGGAAGAGGTTTTCCCTTTGCACATCTTTCTCTTTGAGAGAGAAATTCATCCTTCCTGGAAGCCCCCAGCAGACTTTCCCTTGTGGCTCATTGGTCAGGGCAGGAGCACATGCTCCCCAGACACTAATCACTACAAAGGAAACAGGGGTGACTGTGACTGGCTTACGCCTATCAAGACCCATTCCCAGGCCCCAGGGGCCAGGGGCTATGGACCTGGACACGTCTGCTGGGGAGAAGAAAGAGGCAGTGTCTAATAGCAAGGCTTTTCACAGAATCCCAGTGCATGACTGCTGGTGTCCCCGTGAGACGGGCTGTGGGCTTCCTGAGGGCAGGAATTCTGTCCCCCATCAGTCAGAAATACCTGGACATCGGTGCTTGTCCCAGACTAGAAACTGGGAAAACAGGGACTCTGTCTTTTCCCCCAGAATTCACACAAGAATCCGCAGAATTTTAACAAATCCGCATCCTACGTTTATTTCATTGTGATTTCAGGTGATCAGGACTTCTGTAAGCGTCGACTGTGTCAATGTGATAAAACAGCTGCCGATTGTTTAGATAGAAACCGGAGGACCTACAATAAAAATCTCCAATACTACAACAACCTTCTGTGCTTTGGGAGTGCCCCCAAGTGCTGAAAGGCCCTCACCCTGGAAGCCCTGCCAACCAATGCCGAGTTTCCTTCTCAGCACCCCACTTCCTACACTAGCCACGTTCTCCAGCAAATGATGGAAAACCTCTTGCCCACCCTAGAAACCAGCCAGGAGCCCTTCTCCTCCCCAGACTGAAGCTTTCTATCCAGAATGAGAAGCTCAAGGTTCTGGCATGTATGCTGGCTCCTTCCCCCTGCTTCCTTGGGCAGCCAGAGACTTTTTCCCAACTCCTACTCTTGAATCAAGTCCAGCGTCATGTTTAACTGTAGCAGCTACTTTCCTGGTTGGCTCTTCTCAATAAAGCAATTCATTCAGCAAACTCTGTGTGTGTGTGTGTGTGTGTGTGTGTGTGTGTGTGTGTGCAGGGGTGGGGGGTCGGGGTGCTCACAGGCACTTCTAGTGTAAGGACAAACGAGTACAAGGAAGTAGACTATACGGGGTTAGAAATACAGACTTTAGTACCAGACAGGTTGAGTCGAATCCCCACCACCACCACTTCCCTAAGCCTTAACAGTTCAGTTCAGTCGCTCAGTCATGCCCGACTCTCTGCGACCCCATGAATCGCAGCACGCCAGGCCTCCCTGTCCATCACCAACTCCCGGAGTTTACTCAAACTCATGCCCATCGAGTCGGTGATACCATCCAGCCATCTCATCCTCTGTCGTCCCCTTCTCCT